AACCCCAGGCTGGCCTGACACCCACTCTCAGTCTCCATGGAAACCAAGGGGAGAGCTCTGACCTGGAGAAGTGTGGGTGGGAGGTGATCTCCCTGGTTTCCTGGGGATGGCTGCTGGGAGAACTGTGATTTCACACTAGAAAATTCAAGAAGAATCTTGGGGCCTGGGATCTTCACTTTCTAAAAATACACGTGGGGCCTTGTGTCTGTGTTCACACTGGTGGGAATGCCTGAGCGTACTGTGGCTGGGTGCATGTGTACACATGTGTGTCTGGGGCTGGGCTGTAAATGGGCAGACAATGCATCCCTGTGCTGCTTTCCCAGAGATCTCTCGTAAGGTCAAAATGGATCATGTCACTCCCTTGCTATAATCCTTCCACAGAGCCCCACTGTCCTCAGGAAAATGTGCCAGCTTCCTATCGCAGCCTCCAAGGCCCTAGAGCCCTTCCTACTTCCGTGCTGAACCAGTGTAGCAGAGATGCTTAATAAATGCATACTGCTTGCACTTCCCCACCCCTGCCTGCAGTGCCATGGAAACATCATCCTCAGGGCACTGCTCCTCCTGGAGAGCCTTGGGGGCCCCCTTCACCTCTCCCTGGGCCCTGGGACTCTGAGGTGAAAGTTGGGGCACCTGAGGGGGTGGGTGCAGGCCTTCCAGGGCAGGAGAGCCCTAAGACTACATGAGATATGGAGTCTAGAGGACAATGTGTAAGTTCCCTGTGGCTCAGGAGGCTGGCCTGGGGCAGACATTCCCACATGTGGAGGTTTTTTGGACACTCGGGCCTTCAGCCAGGCTCATGCTACCAAATGCTTGCATGTGTCAGCTTCTGTCACCACTGTGTTGTTGGAAGAGACCCTTCGGGGTAGGAAATACAGTTTCCATTTTCTAAATGACAACACTGAGGCTCAGGGTGACAACCTGCCTAAGGTCACAGTGAAGGGGTGAAGACCTGTTGGGAGGGACTCTACTGGCCCTAGGGCCCCTCAGTTACTGGCAGAGACACTACACAGAGACTGCTGCCCCGGTGTCCTGGCTGGCTGGCTTCCCAGACACGACAGTGCCTCACCCTTCCAGGCTGCTCTGCCCTCCCCTTGGCCTGCCGTGCCTTCCCCGGCTATCTGGCAAACTCCCATGTAGCTGTGAACAGTTAGCTTAAGAGCTTTCTTTGTAAGTTCTCCTTGACTGGTGGAGACAGAATGGTCACAGTGGCTGGGCTTCTGCAGCCCATGGACATCCTGCCAGGCTAACTCAGTCCTAAATTATTCTAGACGAACAGCTCTTCTGGGGCACGTAGGGTCAGTGTGGCTCTGCAAAGTGGCTCTGGGCTGCGTACTGAGGAACTGTCAGAAGTACGTGGAAACATGGACTACACCACCACGGCCTGATGCTAGCACACCAGGATGTGCTGAGGCTGCCTGAGTGATACACAACTTGCTGAGAAGCCCTTGCAAAGACCCGAGATTCTCCTTATATGTCACCCTGATGACAACAATGCCCATATCAGCCAGGGCTACTGTTCCCTGCATCACACAACCCAATCAGCACGCTGCATACACCCTCTGGCTGCAGTCTCCTGGCAACCCACCCTGGCTTGTGTGCACTGATTTGTTTACCAACTGCCCCTAATGTGTCCCACAAAATCCTTGGAAAACGGCATGGACTTTCTGGATCCAAAAGCAGAAATTAGAAGCTCAATCTCTCTATCTACTTCCTCCTCACCTTCCCCATTTGAGGATTTCATTACAACCCAGAAAACCATTTGCTGGCGGCATCAGACTTGTCGCTTGGGTGAAGCTTGCTGGAGTCTCAAGGCAAAGGCGCTGGGCACGGGGATCCACGTAAGCAAGTGTCCACCCTTGCTTCCCTCCTTGTGACCAGAGCTGGAAAGGCTGAGTAGAGGGTAGTGGACAGGCTGGGAACCCAGGGGTGAGTGGTGGGGGCGGGGTCCACCCAGCTGCTGGGCTGAGCGTGGGCACACACCCGAGGTCACTGCTCCCCTGCCTGCCTCTCTCGGAGCCCAGCACACGAAGCTTGTTCCTGATGGTGAGTCATCTCCAACTGGATTGTCTGGCTGGGAACACAGGGTGGGCGGGCGGCACTCCAGGCTTTGAAGTGGCTGAATGGTGTGTGGCAGGTTCACGTCATCTGTACTCCCCTTCACATCCCTGCACCTGAATACCTCTACTCTGGGTCTGTGGTGATACTCAGACCTTCAGGAGGAGCATGTTAAGGGAGAGCACCTGGCCCTCATGATGGGCGGGGCCTGGAGCCTCAAGTGCAGACCTGTGTGGCCTGCAGGGCCAAGGAATAACCAGGATCACATCGGAGGACAGTGAAGGGTTATGGGTGTGGCTGGCCTTGTGCAGGAGGCTGGGAGATGGCTCGCTGTGGACGCTACACCTGCTCAATTGCTGTCAGCTTACTGGATCCTCAAAAAAAACCATCTTTTACTTGAAAGATGACAACAGAGGGCCGATGAAATAGCTCAGTGGTCTAGAGTGCCTGCTTAGGCATGTGAGCAGGCATCACAGATCGAACCCCAGCACCACGTGCCATGCCAGCTCCGCCCCTAGTGTGGGCTGAGCCAGCCACAAAAAAAAAAAAAAAAAAAAAAAAAAACAAAAAACCACAAACAAAAATAAAGATGACAACAGAGACTCAGCAGAATAAAGGAGTGAGGACAGGTAATGAGCTGCCTGCCTCAAGAGGGCTCCTAGGTGGACTTTAAGGAAGGGAGAGACATGGTCAACTCTTAGCCTTTTGGGAAGGTATAGGTGAGCTCAGGGTGGTGCTACACCAGCTGAGCTGGACAGACTGGGCCTTAGCTGTGACTGCAGCAGGGAGGCCACCTTCACTGGTTCTCAGGTTCACTCAAAGTCCCTCGTGTCTCAGGTTTTGGCACTAGAGCTACAGTGGTGAGCTCATGGAGCTTGGGTGGAGATACAACAGCAGTGGAAAGCCTATTAGACAGCAGCAGAGAGGGGCCAGAGGTGGCGATGCAGGTGCGCCTGCACATTTAGTCTCAGTGGCCATGAGGGGCATGACAGGGAAGTAGAGCCCAGAGGAGGTCAGCCATCTGGCCAGACACCTGGGGGGGCTCCAGGAGGAAGGAGCAGACAGTGCAAAGGCCCCAGGCAGGAACGTGCTGGTGGGTCTGAAGGACCAATGGGCCCAAGGCGGAAGGTGAGAAATGAGAGGAGGTGAGGTTGATACGTGTTTGCCTGAGTGACTGATGGATGATAGAGACAGGAGTGGTGGAAACTGCTAGTCTAGATGGCCTGGATGACCTCCATGT